AAACTGATTAACAGAATACACTACAATACACTACATTAACAGAATGGAATACAAAAACCATACGATCATTTGATGCAGAGCAAGAATTTCACAAAATTCAATACCCTTTTATAAGAATACTAAGTAAGCTGGCAATGGAAGGCAACATATTAAAGTCTCTCTAAGAAAAGCTCAGAGCTAACTTCATACTTAATGATGAAAGAATGATTTTCCTCTAAGATCAGGAACATAACATGCCTGCTTTCATCACTTCTATGCAATACAGTGTTTGTCAATGTGAGTTACAAGAAAGATGGCTTGAAAGGCAGAGTGTCAGAGAGAGGAAGAGGTGGAGACAGAATCTTCTATCCACTGTTTTATTCCCCAGATGGCCACAATGGCAGGGGCTGGGCCAGGCTGATGTCAATAACCTTGAACTCCATCCATGGGTGGCAGAAGCCCAAGGACTTGGGCCATCTTCTGCTGTTTTCCCAGGTATGCTAGCAGGGAACTGGGTGGGAAGTGGAGCAGTTGGGACTTCAATCGGTCATATGGGATGTCAGCACTGCAAGGGGTGGCTTAATTAGCTGACTGTGCTACAATGCCAGCCCCCAGGACAGATCACTTGTGTGTGCTAAACAACAGGCCTGGAGATCCTTCTCTCCCTGTTGCCAAGGTGAAGTCAAGTGGCACTGGGGCTGGGTGTTGAGGTAAGTGTGCTCATTCTCTGTGATACACCAGTTTTCCTGCAGCAGGGCCACTCCAGCATCCCTCCTGGATATGAGGGTCCAAGATCTTGATTATGGCTGCAACCCATGTAATGATCTCCAATTGTACTTTATTAACCTCAAAATTGGCATTCTGAATTCCACCTATGTGACTCCAGTGTCATATTTCTTTATTGGTTTTCGATTTGATGTGGGGACAGAAGTATTAGTAACTGTCATTCAAGCCTCCTAATATTTTTTGAACAGCATAGCAATGCTTCATGTATGCTTTAAAAAAATATCTGTTTGGGGCAAGCACTTGATACAGCAGTTAAAACATCTATATCCCATATCAGAGTGTGTGGGTTTAAGTCCAGGCTCTGCTTCCAATTCTAGCTTCCTGCTAAAGTGCACCCTGGGAGGCAGCAGGTCATGGCTCAAGCACTTGGGTCCCTGACACAGAAGTGGAAGACCTAGGTTGTGTTCCAGACTACTGGCTTTGACCTGGCTCAGCCTCAGCTGTTGCGGGCACTTGGGGAGTGAATCTATAGATGGATGTACTCTCTCTTGTTCGCTCTCACCCCCTTTCTCTTTTTCTGTCATTCTGCTTTTTAATATGAATAAATATAACTTTAAAAAATTCATTTGTTGAAAGCCCAGGCATAAGTGAAGTCATAGTTTCATAAGTGATGATTATGCAGAAAGTAGGTGAAATATTTTACAGGATTACACAGGAGATTCTAAAAATGAACCATTGCAATCCAGGGTTCCAACCAGGATCTGGCTGTGTTCACAGCATTGGTGTGTAAACCCGTGCTGAACATATGCTGGGTTCAGGTACCATGACAGCATTTTTTTGTAAATATTTATTTATTTATTTGAAAGAGTTACACAGAGAGAGAAGGAGAGGCAGAGAGAGAGAGAGAAAGAGAGAGAGAGAGAGAGAAAGAGGTCTTCCATCCGTTGGTTCACTCTCCAATTGGCCACGACATCAGGAGCTGTGCCAATCCGAAGCCAGGAGCTTTTTCTGGGTCTCCCACGTGGGTGCAGGGGCTCAAGGACTTGGGCCATCTTCCACTGCTTTCCCAGGCCATAGCAGAGAGGTGGATTGGAGCAGCTGGAACTTGAACCGGCATCCATATGGGATGCCAGCACTGCAGGTGGCGGCTTTATCTGCTATGCCACAGCACAGCCCCAACAGTGCTTTCTTGAGCTCATTTTGCCGGCCAAATCAGAACTATGTTGGGATCTTTCTTAAGTAGGCATCAGCTGTCATACAGATGAAGTGTCTGGACGTTTTGCAATCCAATGATTAAATGTAGTTGAAGGGAAGGCAGAAGTGGTCTACACACCTTAGCAGAGAGACCATGAAACATGAACACTTTAAGAAATGTGGAATAATTAATGATATTTTTAAGGTATTCCCTTGGCTAGTCTGCAAAAAATAATTAGTATCTACTGCTGGGAAGACCCTAGCCAGTGACTTGAGAGAACTGGGAGAGAAACTGCTGAGGCAGCGAGGAAGGCAGTTAAACTCAGAATACATTTTAGTACCAGTGACATTTCTCAATAGTACAAAGGAACACAACCAGCCTGGCGAAACACCCTTAACAACAGAACACAAACTTGAGATGGGATGGGACATTTTTCTGATGGTTGAATATTCAAATAGATTGGTACAGTAACTAGGAGCTCAATTTTCCAGTTCAAAAGAATGATGGAATGAGAGACTGGGAATGAACAAGAAGCAACAGAACATGAGACATTATTTCTGTACCCTATTTTTTGTGCTTGATATCCATGATTCTGTATACTAGTAAACAAAATCTTTCTATTTTACATTCAAGAGTGTTGACTTCTTTGACATATAAAGTGTTTCATATTTTTTAATATTTATTTTTTATTTATTTTCATTGACTTGAAAGGCAGAGCAACACAGAGAGACAAAGACAGAGATCTTCCATTTACCACTTCATTTCCCAAATGCTTGCAAGAGTATGGACTGGGCCAAGCTGAACCCAGGAGCCCAGAACTTGGTATCCAAGTCTCCCATGTGGGTAACACGGGCCCAAGCATTTGAGCCATCATGTGCTGCCTCCCAAAGTGCGCATTAACAGGAAGCTGGATCAGAAGCGGAGTAGCCAGGGCTCAAACCAGGTATTCCCATATGGGATGTAGGTGTCCCAAGTGGAGGATTAACCTGCTGTGCCACAATGCCTGCTCCTAGACTTTTATTTCTAAAGCTGGCACTATGTCATAGAAGGTTAAAGCCTCGTGTAGTGCTGGCATCCCAGATGGGCACCTGTTTGAGTCTCAGCTGCCCTACTTCCCAACCAGCTCTCTGCTAATGGACTGGGGAAGCAGCAGAAGATGACCCAAGTGCTTGTGTCACTGCACCCATATGGGAGTCCCAGAAGAAGCTCCTGGCTCCTGGCTCCTGGCTTCAGCCTAGCCCAGCCCTGGGGCCATTGTGGCCATTTAGGGAGCAAACCAGCAGATGGAAGATTCTCTCTTTCCTTATCTGTATCTCTGCCTTTTAAAAAGAAAATACATTTTAAATGTCTCATTCAAGGATCTGGAGATCTGATTTATTAGCATGGTGCGTGGGTAGAAAATCCTTTTCCCATCCACAGTTAAGAAAATCTAGAAGGGTAATCATTTGTCACAGGAAAATCACCCCCTAAAATGTTTGTTAGGCTGTGATTAACGCTGAGCGTGGGATTCTGTAACAATTCCACATGAATTCTCCCTGGCTCTGGGGCTCCCAGAGCAACTTTTTCAGCCATCAGAGGGTGTCTAGCATCAGTGGCCCTCAAAGGCAGGAACAGAAAGGCAGGCCTGCATGACACTGGGCTGCAGCTTCAGTGCACGAGCCCAACCTGAGCAGGAAGTGCCCCCCCCCCCCCAGCTGGATGAAGGCAAAGCCCAGTTCTCAGCACAGGTATATTCCTATACAGTTCCATATTGCAAAACACTTCCTTCCCCAGCTCTGCCTTCCTTGCTCTGTTTCCTGGGTCCAGAGCCTGTTTTTCTTTTCTCATCTTGTAACTAGGCTTTTTCTAGTTTCTTGTAACTAGGATTTTTCTCCATCTTGTAACTTCTCTTCCAAACCAGCCCCTCCCTCTAAGTCACCCCCCTCTACCCTTGCTGTATCCTGTGTGTGTCCCTTCATCCTAGGTGGTCCAGCAGGCTGCTCCTCTGGGGGCCACGCTGGCTGCTTTCTGCACACAGGGGCTGCTGCTTGCCCGGCTTCACCTGCCCGTCAGAGCCTCCCATCTGCAGTCCGTAGAGGGCAGCCTCTCTTTCATGTGAGGATGAAAGTGCAGCCTGCCCACCGTGCCCTAGAGGACTCAGCCATTGGATGGATCAGTCTCTGTCTTATTTTCAGTCCCACAGGGCTTCATCTCAATGTGTCCCACAAGTGAAGCGGATCAGATGAGAGGAAGGCATGCCACAGAGCTCTGAGACCCGTCAGGAAGGGATGGGGAGGAGCAGCCACCGAGCCCTGGCTGGCAATGGCTCGCTGCTCTTCGCAGTGTTCTGAAACCTGGCGTGGAGAGAGACTATCTTCATGGATCATTTCACTTCAAACCATCAGATCTTCACATCTGAGAATCTGTTCCTTAGAATTACCACCTCGGCGTGATCCAAAAAGCAAGCCTTGCTCCAGTCTGACCTACTTAGACCGCACTCTCACTTGCAAACACCCCACGCTGCAGGAAAGGCAGCTTAGCAGGCTTCTCGGCTCTCAGCCGTGACAAATCCGATGTTACCCTGGAGATGAGGCAGAAAGCTGCAAAGAGCCTGACCAGCAAAGCAGAAGGGAGGCCAAGTCAGCCCGACCTAATCCGTGAGAGAAAGGATGCTATTTGATCTCACAGAATGAAATAGTTATGAACTTAATCATAACTCTGGAAGGAAACTTCACGATTGTATAATCTTTCTAAAAACAAACTCTCTATATTGTAAAACAACAGCTGTTAACTGCAATCAGGAAATGTGGCCACTGATGAGGTTTACATCCAAATACTGCTGCCTTCTGGGCCCATCCTGCTTCTGCGGACTTGGATTCCGCGTGGCTCTGACCCTTCGCTCTCTCGATTCCGACATCGCTGGGCTGGCCTCTTGGTTTGTTTCATCACCACTCTTATTTTTTAAATGTCACTATCAAGTGCTTTATCATCACTGCCCTTTTTGAAAGAAGTACCATAAATATACTTTTAATCACACAAAATTTTAGAAACAGGAAATGAGGCCCAGGAGACAAAGGTGGCTGTGACACTAAGCCTAGTTTTATGCATTAAAAAAAAAACTTTAGAAATGAAGCTGAAGAGGCATTTTACATTTTTATTTTCAGTTGTTTAATATTTTTAGTTAATAACTTTATTCAGAACTTCCAGATTACCTGCAAACATGATCAGTACAGTTGTCTTACTATCAAAAGTATGATTTATTTAATTTTTTGATACACAGACTATGTCCACAACGTGCCCCAAGCCCATTTTAGAGGCGTTCAGTGACTGAGACTCTTACACACTGAGCTGGCTGCTCACGCTTGGTTCAGAACTCCTGAATGATAATTTACCCCCCTAAGTTTTTCTTTTTTACAATCTCCCAGTTAGACCTATGACAGTCCAGAACTGATACTAGCCCAGAGCATTTTTCTGGTAATTAAGAACATAGTTTTCAAACATTTGCTATGTGTGACACAGTGATTAAGACATATCAGGGGAAATGACAACTTAACAAAAGCTTGTGAGACATAGCTAGCAGTGTGCATGAAATCAACAAGATTACAGGAATACTTAGCTTCTGTTAAGTACTTTCAAAAAGTATTTAACACTGAAAGTACTTAGTACACAACCAGAATATGAATTCTTGATTTTCATTCTGAAAAATTTTAGGCAGAAATGAAAAAAAAAATTGTGTTCAATTCTCCCACATGTAAACCATTTGTCATCCATTCACAGAATGTTCTACTTCTTTACCAAAAATCGTGTGATGTCTGATCCATGCTTTGATGCCAGAGATTGTCTTCTCACCTGACTTCTTTCCTTGGCTTGTCTGGCAGTTCTCTGAAAGGTAAAAAATATGCATGTATACACAGTGGGAAAGGCACTGACTACAGGAGCCATAAACGTATGCTTGGTTAGTATGGAAAAAAAATCTATAGTCACTATATCCACTCACCATTTCTTGCCATGGGGGGTCCCAAACCACAAGGCAGAGTGCCTTAGCAGCTTGGACAAGTGCACTGTGGTCCTAGTGCATGAGGGCCAGGAGAAAGCATGCAACTGCGGGAGATGTTTTGTTACCCAATGAGATTGCACATCTCTAATTTGTGGACTAGGAGGCCACGATTCTCCTTATCCAACTGCAAATTTAACTTTTTAAAGATTTATTTATTGGGGCCTGTGCTGTGGTATAGCGGGTAAAGCTGCTGCCCGCAGTGCCAGCATCCTATATAGGCACCAGTTTGTGTCCTGGCTACTCCACTTCTAACCCAGCTCTCTGCTGTGGCCTGAGAAAGCAGTAGAAGATGGCCCAAGTGCTTGGGCCCCTGCACCCTCGTGGGAGACCCAGAAGAAGCTCCTGGCTCCTGGCTTCTCATTGGTGCAGCTCCGGCCATTGCGGTCAACTGGGGAGTGAACCAGAAGATGGAAGACCTCTCTCTCTCTTTCTCTCCCTCTCCCTCTCTCTTTCTCTGCCATCTTGGGCCATCTACTCTTGGGCCATCTTCCACTGCTTTCCAAGGTATATTAGTAGAGAGCTCCATAGGAAGTGAAGCAGCTGAGATTCAAACTGCTGCTCACATGAGATGGTGGCATCACAGATGGCAGCTTAACCCACATCATAACGCCAGCCCCTCACTGGTGCAATTTTATGGGTGTTAACTGTTGGGATTTGGGAAGCATAAATGAGTAAGATCCTTGGGAAACACTTTGGAGATGAATTCCAATATATCCAAGTTTAAAAAAATATGTATTTATTTATTATTTGAAATGCAAAGTGATGTAGAAAGGGAAGAGACAGAGAGAATTCCATCCAATGGTTCATGCCCCAAATGCCTATAACACCCAGGGCTAGACCAGGCCAAAGCCAGGAACTGGGAACTCCATCCAGGTCTCCTCCATGTTTGGCAGGGACTCAAGTACTTAGGTCATTATTCACTGTCTTCACAGGCACACCAGCAAGAAACCAGATTGGAAACGGGAAAGCTGGGACTAGAACCAGCACTCCAATATGGGATGCAGGCATCCCAAGCAGCTTAGCTTAGCACCACAATGCCTGCCTCTATTCAAATATTTCGACTTGCCTTTTTTTTTTTTTTATATCTGAGAATCTATCTTAAGGAATAACCTCAAAATGTAGAACACAATTTTGTTCACAAAAATGATGCATAGTGGCATTATATGTAAGAGCAAAAAAAATATTAAACACCTTAAATATTCTTCAGTATGAAAATGGCTTAGTAAACTGGGGCAGAGATCTACTTACGAGAATATTATGCAACCATGTTAGGGGATATACATCATGAATGGCTGGAGGACATGGGAAAACGCTTGCATTTTGCCAAAAGTGAAAAATTCTGGATATAATGTTGCACATTGAAAATCGGTCTCTTTTGGCCGGCGCCGTGGATCGATAGGCTAATCCTCCACCTAGTGGCGCCGGCACACCAGGTTCTAGTTCCGGTCGGGGTGCCGGATTCTGTCCCGGTTGCCCCTCTTCCAGGCCAGCCCTCTGCTGTGGCCAGGGAGTGCAGTGGAGGATGGCCCAAGTGCTTGGGCCCTGCACCCCATGGGAGACCAGGAGAAGCACCTGGCTCCTGCCTTCGGATCAGTGGGGTACACCGGCCGCAGCGCGCCAGCCGTGGCGGCCATTGGAGGGTGAACCAATGGCAAAAGGAAGACCTTTCTCTCTGTTTCTCTCTCTCACTATCCAAGCAGGGAGGTCCTGCTACATTTTTCAGTAGTGCCTGCTAAAAATTCATCCACTTTTGAGTGTGGCCACCACCAGTCAGTGTGCTTGGTGAGGCCAGCCTGTGGGGCTTGAGGCCGCTGGCCTTCAGGGGCGAGGTTGGTGGCCTGTAGAGGATGGTTCCCTGGACTGGAGAGTGGGTATTCCAAACAAATAAACGAATCTTTTTTTTTTTTAAAGTAAATGTCTCACTTGTTATCATTACAAAAATTAATCCTAGTAGATAAACAAAACTATGCCATTTTTTCTCTCTCATTTTACACAGCAGTAACTGCTCAGAGATGTGCAGGGTTAGTAGTTTTCATGCTTTGGCCAGCAGTGCAATCTTTGCACGTTGAGCCGAGTTGGTCCTTGAGATAATTTATCACTGTTCTTAGATATTTCAGGACAGACTTGAGCATATGCAAATATGAAAATCTGTGTCACTGCCCCAATTCACAAAACCTCGTTTGAGGCTCTGGGTCTTTCAAGACTGTGCAATGCAGGAGTTATATTCATTTTTTCTACATGGTAAAAATGTCTTGATTCTAGAATGCATGAAAAGGGACACAGCTTCTCTTGCATTCGTGACTGAGAACTCACACAGGCCTAGAGATGACTGGCAAGTGTTGGGCAATGAAAGGAATCAACCGTATCCTGGATCCCAAACCAGAGGTCTTGCCTCACCCACACAACCTTGCACACCTGCATGCACAATTTTCCATGTGATATCTCAGCATGGAGTCATGGCTGTCTGCAAGCTGCACTGACCTCTTTGTGACAGACCGTGCAGAGGGTCTGCAGGTTGTCCAGTGAGCACTGTCCGCCGCCCCCGTACACGGGCTTGATGTGATCCACCTGCCAGAAATGTCCTTCCCCCGGGTTCCTTATCATTTCATTTAGCTGCAATAAGAACACAGGATCAGCAATTTTCAACACGCACTGTAGGAACTGTTGGTTTTGTATTGTACAATGATGTTTATACAGCAAAACCATGGGGAAAAATACATTAGGATGGCTTTTTATAGCTTTTATTTCAAGTGGAAAAAACCCTCTAGGTTAGCAATTTGAAAGCAATAAAATGTGTTTCTGAAAGTTTTTTTTCCCTTTACCTAACCCATTTTAAAAGACTTAAAAGCAAGTATAAAATACCAAGACCTTTGACAGATTGATAAAAAAAAAAAAGTTTGTTTCTGCATCTTTCCGTTAATTTCTATGTTCACTAAGCCAAAACTAAGGGAAGAATAAGGAGACTGGAAATTTAAAGCTTCTCCTAATATTACTGACTCAAATAATCTTGCATTGTTGACCTAAATGCATTTTTACTATACCAACAACAGTTTCATATTAATAGCTATCACCCAGAACTCTTATTCTATTCATTAGAGAACTTTTCAAGTCACATAGACTGTAGTGAAATTTCTAGAACAACCCACTGAAACTTGCATATTTGGAATAAACAAAGATGTCCACTTAAAGTAGCCAGTGTTGGCCGGCGCCGCGGCTCACTAGGCTAATCCTCCGCCTTGCGGCGCCGGCACACCGGGTTCTAGTCCCGGTCGGGGCGCCAGATTCTGTCCCGGTTGCCCCTCTTCCAGGCCAGCTCTCTGCTGTAGCCAGGGAGTGCGGTGGAGGATGGCCCAGGTGCTTGGGCCCTGCACCCCATGGGAGACCAGGAAAAACACCTTGTTCCTGGCTCCTGCCATCGGATCAGCGCGGTGCGCCGGCCGCAGCGCGCCAGCCGCGGCGGCCATTGGAGGGTGAACCAACGGCAAAGGAAGACCTTTCTCTCTGTCTCTCTCTCTCTCACTGTCCACTCTGCCTGTCAAAAAAAAAAAAAAAAAAAAAAAGTAGCCAGTGTTTAGGCCAGTCCATATGGACACATATTTAACCAACGATGACCTACCCTAAAATAGGATGTATTTCAACATTCTGCCTGAGGGAGTAAAAGAAATTCACACTATGGCAGTGTACTTGTTTATCACAAAGATGAGCGTGACACTTGTTTATATTTTCTTGGCTTTGGACAGGAACAAACTATAATCAACGTCATGGCTCTTGGCCGTGAGGCCCCATGGGTATTTCTAAAGAACTCTGAAGAAACCTTGTCAGCCATTCGGACGGTACAGGGACCTGATCGAAGGCGCTGGTCTGCGAGGAGCTCTGAGAGGCGTCAAGTTGGAGCCTGACCTTTGTCTTGTATTCCTGACTACCTTCCTTACTCTTCTGTACTGAACTTCCCAGCTTCCGTTAGAAGATACATGCTGATTTTTTAATTTCAAAGTTGACACTGTAAGAAGCAACAAAAAATGGCAGTCTGGTGCCATAAACAAATGGCATATTGTTAGGGAATAATCCATGGTGGGTCTGCCTTTGTAATTGATTCTCTCTCTCCACTTCGATGGGCTCAGTGATCCAAATAGTGTTTATTTTTTCCTAGCAACTGTATGGCAACTCACTTTGGGCCATTCTCTAACACCCTAAATTCATGCCATGAAAGAATCACTCTTCCTCTGAGCTCTGTAGTTTTGAGTGTCTATACCATGTTACTTTTGCATTCCTGCACAGGTGGCTCTCGGTATGAGCTGTAGCCATTTCATTGTGTGTCTTCTGAAAGCGTCCACACTATGGTGGCAGACAGTAACTGGAATCTGGTTAACAACACTGGGATGTATACGTCCCTCACTGATTAGATCAAAAGATCTTTTAGGAGCTCTGGATATCAATAGGGAAACAGTGAATTTCTCAGGCTTTCAAAAGCATGTGAATTTATCTTTGCAGAAATGCTATAAATTCTTTAAAATTTAGCAATACTAGGTAAATAAAAATACATAATTTATCTAACTGGCAGAAATTTATAGATATTTCAGTGGGCAGAGTGTGGTAAGAAATCCTACAGGCAAGCGATGCAGTTCCTTCAAGAATCAGTGGTGTAAAAATAGGGATGAGGGGCTGACACTGTGGCGTAGTGAGTAAAGCTGCCACCTGCAGTGCCAGCATCCCATATGAGTGACGGTTCCCCCAGTCTGGGTTGCTCCACTTCTGATCCAGCTCTCTGCTATGGCCTGGGAAAGCAGGAGAAGATGGCCCAAGTCCTTGGGCCCCTGAACCTGTGTGGAAGACCCAAAAGAAGCTCCTAGCTCCTGGCTTCGGATTGGCCCAGTTCTGGCTGTTGTACCCATTTGGGGAGTGAACTAGCAGGTGGAAGACCTCTCTCTCTCTCTCTCTCTCTCTCTGTCTCTGCCACTCTATAACTCTGCCTTTCAAATAAATGAATAAATCTTAAGAAAGAAAAACAGGGATGAGATGCTATGGTATATAAATGGAGCACAGGGGCTGGTGCTGTGGCATAGTGAGTAAAGCTGCTGCCTGAAGTGCCGGCATCCCATATGGGTGCTGGTTCCAGTCCTGGCTGCTCCACTTCTGATCCAACTCTCTGCTATGGCCTAGGGAAGCAGTAGAAGATGGCCTAAGTCCTTGGGTCCCTGCACCCTCGTGGGAGACCCAGAAGAATCTCCTGGCTCCTGGCTTTGGATCGGTGCAGCTCCAGCTATTGCAGCCAACTGGGGAGTGAACCAGTTGATGGAAGACCTCTCTCTCTGCCTCTCCTTCTCTCTGTGTAACTCTGACTTTTAAGTAAATAAATAAATCTTTAAAAATAAATAAATAAGTGGAGCATAAGAAGCACAATGACCAAATACAATATATGGGTCATATTTTCAGCTTAATTTGAACAAACTAACTGTAAGAGGACATGTATGAGAAAATCTAAAATTCAAAATGGACTTACTGTAATTAAGAAATTGTAATTGTGTTGAATGTGATAACATGTTAGAATTATATTTAAAAGAAAGAAGTAGAGAAGAAAGGGAGGAATGAAGGAAAAAAGGAAGGGAGGGAAGAAGGGAGGAAATGAAGGAGAGAGGGAGGGGAAGCGGATGGGAAAAAGGAAGGAAGTCTTTACCTTCGTGAAATGCATAGTGAAAGTAAGGGTGAAATGAAATGTTGTGTGAAATTGCCTTTAACATATGCCAGGAGAAAAAAACAAGTGAGACAAGGGACTGATGAAAGCAAGTGATGAAATGCTGATATTGTTAAGCTGAGTGTTAAGTATATGGGTTCATTATTCTATTTTTCATTTGTATTTGAAAATTCCAATACTAAAAACTTAAAAAATCAAATTAATGAGCCAGTATTCACTACTGAGTACAGTGCTGCCTTCTGACACACAACTGTAAGTTACCTGTTCTAATGGGAGCTTTGAAGTCCAGGTAGAATCCAGGAGATTCTTCCTCTGACTTTTAGGAGCATCTCTCAGACGTAAAAAGAGTTCTTGTGCGTTCACATGACACAGCTGACACACACCATGTTCAGTTTCAAATACTTTGGCTCTCAGGTAACTGTTATTAGATCGAATCCAAAACTCTTCCTGACATTTCAGAGAGCAAAACCGTGAATCCCAAGCGTTTGCTTTACACTCTGGCTTAGTGTGGCAAGTGGGATGCTGACAGCGGAGGCAAAGTGGATTTCCTTCATTATCCACAGCTTGCAAATAGCCTTTGGATGAAGAAGGCTTCGCAGTGAGATCAGCTTGGGCGGTGCAGGGATTTAGATATGGGACACAGGCTCCATCTTCGAAAAAATTTCTATAATGGAACAAAACATTGAATAGGTAACTAATGAACAATTAGTCTAAATAGTCATTGCTTCCTATAAATGTCTTCAAAGTTTCTCTATTGAGAAACAGTAAACAAAGGACCTACAGATTTTGTGATTCAGTGTGGAAATAAAATGGCTATAGTTAGCACTCTATATTCTATGCCAAGTGAAGGAGTGAGGTGTTAAGAAAATTAATTTGAATACAAATATGCCACCTCTCTTAGGAATTTACAAGCCTTTATGTTGAATAATCAAACTTTGAAACATCTGGAGAAACTAGAAAATCTTCTTGAGGCTGGGAAAGCACAGGCTAATATAAAACTCCAACTAGGGGCAGGCGTTTGGCAGAGGGATTAAGTTGCTGCTTGGGATGCCCACACCCCATATCGAAGTGCCTATTTTGAGTCCCAGCTTCTCAGCTTCCAGTCTAGATTCCCACTAATGTGCACTGTTGGAGGCAGCAGGTAATGGCTCAAGGACTTGGGCCCCTGCTGCCATGTGGGAGACCCTGAATGAGTTCTAGGATCCTGGCTTTGGCCTGGCCCAGCCCTGGCTGTTGTGGATATCTGGGAAGAGAATCAGCAGATGAAAGATCTCTCTCCATCTGTCTCCCTGCCTTTCAAATAAAATGAAATAAATAAATAAAACCACAACTAAAGCTAAATGCTACCCTGTTCTCTAACTATGTCGGGTCATACACCTCTTTAGGCCAGAGAAAGCATTATGAGTTCTCTCTTCTGGACCCTGATAGCTTAACAGAAGCAGACTCTTGCAGCCATAAAATGACAGTAAAGTGGCTGACAGTGCTGATAGGAGTAAGAACACAAGATAGCTAAGAATTGTGTCCTACAGGTAATTAAAACTAAAAATGAAAAATAACAGGGCACATGCTCAATGTGTTGGAGGAAAAGAAAAAGGTACCATAATCAATTATGTTGAGAAGTCCTAAATGGGAAGTAACATCTGCTATGCCTATTTCCATGGTTGGTTTCTAGAAGGGTTGAAAGAAAAGACTCATAACAGAAAGAGCTTAAGACTGGGGAGAAGGACCCAGCTTTGACTTAGGTCTCCTGGCATCTACCTTCCTGACTTGGAATGGGTCACTTGGGCTACAGGGTCTCAGGGTCCTTTCTCATCTCTAATTTTTAAGATGAGGAGATCATGTATGTGCCTTGCAGAGTTGGTAGGACTAAGGAGCTACTATATTGTGAAAGCTCTTGGTAACCCGTAAAGCAGCCACACAAATGTGAGGTATTATTACAATTAATACATAAATTTAAAGAAGCAGTCTTAGCACACTGTGTCCTTACTTTGTGGAACGATCCCATGGCCTGGATTCCTTTGTGATCAGCCGGACATGGCCCCCTTCATTCTTCACCTTGTCCATCGAGGCTATGGCAACATCTTCTTTGGTTATGTATCTAAAACAATTACATATTAAATAGGTATCCTCTCTCTCACATAGAGTTTCTCTATTGCTTCTCTATTGCATCTTCACAGAGCTCCTTGCAAGAGCACTAAGAGAAAATGTAAAGTACAATTCTATTCACTGTGCCAACACTAAAGTTAGGAAACGGAGTGGTCTCCCTTTACACTGGTGTCTGTTATGTGGAAAATACATGTGTGTTCCAAGTTAGTTTTCTGAAGGTTTATTTTTCTGAGAAAACCAAGAGTCATTTCAATATCCTTTGGACCAATTTTGACTTAGGGGAGCAAAGGAGTGAGAGAAGGAATAAGAGATGATCAAATATGTGCACAAGTGACAGCCATAAGGACACTGCCTGCCAAGCTGTGCGGAAAGTCTCTCACTGTGTTTTTACCTCCATCAAGTTTCTCCAAATCTCTTTAGTCAGTTACAAGCCCATTTGGGTAAAGGGATTCTCATTTTACTTCACCAGGTTCAATCAAATATTTTATAATCTCAAGGTTATTCCCATTTGTATCAGCCGATGCAGAGTTTATGGAATCTTCCACTGAAATAAAGCCACTCTTGATGTAGGATTTAGAACCTTATTACGCAACACTATTAAACTGCACAATGGTTTAGGGACTGGAAGGAAAGAGGCAAGTTACTCTAATTAAAGGTGATGGGGGAATTTAAGTAGGTGAAATGCAATTACCCAATTAACTCCTCCTAATTAGCATGGCCCAGTTACTCTGGTATTTACATTGACTGTAGTTTTTTTAAAATTAGTTTAAATATGTATTTTTTCATATTTTTGAGTACTTCTTCATCTGGTAGCTTGACAATAAAATTCAAGTCTAATCATAATGTAACTGTGCAATTATAGGTAAAATTAAAAATTTTTCTTTTATGTTATTAAGGTAGATTTAATAATAAGATCTCCTTTCCATAAACTACCTTATTAATTTTGTAATTATTTTCACATGGTTCCAAATTTAAGAAGCGCACAACAGTGTATAGGGTGAAGAGTAAGTTTCATTTCCATTTCCATAGCTCTTTTGCTCCTCTCCCAAACTACTGCTGTTGTCTGGGGTAACATTTATATCAGCTTTTGGTAGATTCTCTTGGGAATAATTTATTTTTCAATGGGCATTGTGGTGCAGTAGATTAAGCTGCCGCTTAGGATGCCAGCTTCCCAAATCAGAGTGCCAGTTCCAGTCCTGGCTCCTCTGCTTCAGATCCAAGCTAATGCTCCTGGGAAGGCAGCAGATGACGCCTCAAGTATTTGGACCCCTGCCAGTCAATGCAGAAGATCCACTGGAGTTCCAGACCCTTGGCTTTAGCCTGGCCCACCTCTGGCTATTGTGGGCATTTGAGGAGTGAACCAGCAGATGGAAGAGCTCTCCCACTCTCTCTGTCACTATGTCTAGCAAATAAATAATTTTTAAAAAAAGTTTATTTTTTCTGCACACAGGTGCAAACTTTTATTTATTTTCGTATTTTTATTGACATATAATTAACATACCATAAAATCTCCCAATTCAAAGTTTGCAATTCAGTGTATTTTAGTATATTCACAAGATTGTGCAGCCACTACCACCATCCAATTCCAGAACAGTATTACCCCCAAAACAATCTGTTACCAGTTTGCACTTATTCTTGATTATAATTTTTATTTTTGGAAATGAAAGTGAAGCATAAAGACTAATCTTTAGCACTCCTCATGATACCTTTTGTTTTTGGAAAAGAATGATAATGTTGCAGTCACACTGATCTTCCTCTTGTTCTTTTTACCTAAACAAATATCTCAGAGATCTTTCCATACTAGGATGCATAGAGTGGCCCTATTATTTTTAATGGTTCCATGTTATTTTATTTGGATAGATTATACAGCTAACCAGTCTCTGATAAATGGACACTTGAGTTGTTTCCAACTTTTGCTATCATCACAAAAATTGCTACAATAGATATCAGTATATGTGACAGCTTGTACCTACTGAGTATATGTAAAATCAGTCCCAGAGGTAGGATTGCTGGTCAGAGGTCTTGGGTGCTTTAAATGTGGGCAGATTTTTGATAAACTAGGCTGCACCAGTGACCATGTCCAGCAGGGCAGGAGACTGCTGTTCCTCACACTTTCACTGGCAATTAAAAAAAATTTCTCTGCTGGGGCACATGTTTGGCCTAGAGGTTGACACCAGCATCCCATATTAGAATGCCTGGGTTCAATGCCCATCTCTGGCTCCTCATTCCAGCTTCTCACTGATGCAGACCTTGGGAGGCAGCAGCGAGAACTCAAGTAACTGGGTCCCTGTCACCTATGTGGGAGACCAGGCTTTTGTAGGGGCAGACATTTGGGAAGCGAACAAGTGATGGGACCGTTCTCTGTGACTCTCAAATAAGTAAAAGAATTTTTAAAAATTCTGTGTTAATAGTGATAGGCATCTCATTACAGCTTTACGTTTGCATGTCTCCTATTAAATGTAAGGAAGGATACCTTTTCATGTGCTTCTATTTCTACTGTGGGTCTTCAAGCAAAAAAGAACTTAAATAATAGTGAATTCTTTTAACTTGGCCTTTTAGTTCCTAAACTTCCTCCTCACCTCCCCATCCCACTCACTAATTTCTTCAACCATTTTATTCTCTTGACAAAAGTACTTTGTTAAAGTATTTCCGTGGATTCTAAATGAACTCAAAGGCTTCCAAGCTTTGAGGGGTAATGAGATGTTAAGTCTTGCCTCAGGTATTATTCAATGTTTGAAAGCTTACAAACCGAATTCAGTAACTTTAAAAGATGCTGAGAAATCTAGTCAGAGATTTAGGAACCAAAAATAACTTTTTGCTTTCCTACAAGAAGCTGAAGCACAAGTTTTTGGAAACCACGAGAAACAGATCTATCAATCCCAAAGAAGAGAGTTGACAGCTTTTCAAACTGAGTGGCAAGTTGCCAGAATTTAATTTTCCACTGAGGTTTGCTAGGAAGTTCATGTAAGTATACTGACTCTCAAAGGATTATGATAATCCCAATTTTGGCAAACAGAGAAGGGAGAATGTTGTCTACTAAACTAATTTGTGGATTAGGGATGGGAATGGCAGATGGCAATTTCTGCAATGGGAGAAGAGTGTATGTTGCAAAGTGGCTCACATCAACAAGCACCACGAACATGTCTGGGTTGCTGGCCAGCTTTGGAGATCAGTGGTGGGTGGAGGGTAAACACTTGGCCTACTAAACAGGACAGGGCTCTAAGTGACTCAGGCCTGCTCCTGAAAAGTGGAACTTACTCAGGGACCAAAACAATGGTTGGTGGTGAGGGTTCCATTCACAGTCAAGAGTGAGATGCTCAAAAGCTGACTGCAAGCTCTGAGCATGGATGGGCAATTGACCTGCATAATCTGTTTGTGGACACTAAGCCACTGCTTTTAGGGGAATCCTCGTAGTTGGTTTCTATGTCTTCTTTTGGAGCAATAGATGAATTCTGTCCACTCCTGCCTAAAAAATGTGGCTGTGGGCATTCTGGAAACTTAATGGGGGATGAGTGGTTTCAGTTTTCAGAATAATGTTTTTCCCTTTATTTCCATGAACCTGGGCTTTCCAAGTCTGGAGGCTGTCTGGTTCAGTTTTTTCTACAAAGTAAACTAACACGACAGTGAGAGGGAAAGGAATTCAGTGTCTAAGCAATCTGGACTCTGACTTGCGAACTGTGAGATAACAGATGTGTGTTCTAATTTCCCAACCTCGGCCAGGTGACTCTTAAAGAACTGGGGGCTGGTGTTGTGGTGTAATGAGTACAGCCACCACTCGAGATGCTGACATCCCACGTGGGCACAGGTGCGTGTGCCGGCTGCACCACTTCCAATCCAGCTCCCTGCTAATGGCCTGGGAAAAGCAGTGGAAGATGGTACAAGTACTTGGGCCTCTGTCTCCTAGTTTTGGCCTGACCCAGCCCTGGCCATTGCGGCCATCTGGGGACACTGGGAAGAGAATCAGTGGATGGTAGATATGTATCTCTCTCTATCTCTGTCTCTCCCTCTTTCTCTGTAACTCTTTCAAACAAATATATAAAACTTGAAAAGAAATTTGATTATTTCATCTACTGCCCATTAATACAAGTTATTGTCTTAATATGTCACCTACATACAAATTTATGAATAACACCATATATCTGACTTTGGTTTATATTCATTTTATGAATTACTTTTGCTTCTGCACATGATTGACTACCTTTCTTCGCAGGTACTTTAAGTGGTCATCCTTGTGTAATGTAAAAGAGACAATGGGGCATGTCTAGAAATGGTTGGAGTGGTCTTTTGAAAAATGTCTGTTTAAGTCCTTGGCCCATTTCTTAACTGGATTGTTTGTTTTGTTGCTGTGAAGTTTCTTGATCTCTTTATATATTCTGGTTATTAATTCTTTATCAGTTGCATTGTTTGTAAATAATTTCTCCCATTCTGTTGGTTGCCTCTTCACTTTCTTGAGTGTTTCTTTTGTAATACAGAAGCTTCTCAATTTGATGTAATCCCATTTGTTAATTTTGGCTTTGACTGCCTGAGACTCTGGGGACATTTCTAACTCTTTGCCTGTGCCAATGTCTTGCAGGGTTTCCCCAATGTTCTCTAATAATTTAATGGTATCAGGTTGTAGATTTAGATCTTTAATCCACTTTGAATGGATTTTTGTGTAAATTAAAGGTAGGGGTCCTGCTTTATACTTCTGCATGTGGAAATCCAGTTTTGCCAGCACCATTTTTTGAAGAGACTGTCAATCCTCCAGAGATTGGTCGAATATAAGTTAGTTGTAGATGTCTGGATTGATTTCGGGTTTTTCTATTCTGTTCCATTGGTCTATCCATCTATTTTTGTACCAGTAACAGGCTGTTCTGATTATTACTGCCCTGTAGTATGTTTTGAAATCTGGTTTAGTGATTCTTCCGGCTTTGTTTTTGTTGTATAAGATTGCTTTCGCTATTCGAGGTCTCCTGTGTCTCCATATGAATTTCAGCATCATTTGTTTCTAGA